GTTTCCTTCTTTATGCTGCGTTCCGCTCTATTGACTGTACGTTTAAGAAAAGAATAACACGATAATTTAACACGAAATCGTCTAAATGCATGAAAAACGGAGAGAGGCATTTGCAGATACATGTATACGTATGTGTGTAAGAAAAGAAAATTATGAAATTTCTTGTTTTCGATTTAAGAAGCGGGATATTAAAAAGATAAATTATGAAAACTGGAACAATGATTAATTTAGCATTTATGTATTAATAATGTAAAAAAAAACCAAGTAAAATTGGTTGAAATTAGTACTATGTACAATTTTTTGTAAGTATACGGATCAACGCAAAGAGATAGGAAAATAAAATAAAACTTTGAACTCTACGAAAGTTCTAACAAACGAATTTCTTATTACACTTTTTATATAGGGCAAGATCGTTGACACCGTCTCCAAGAAGATTAATCCTCGCAACAGGCGATTCTTAGCCAGAAAAAAAAACGAGAAGTTTCCTGTATAAATTTATAAAAAGGTCATAATCCTGCCAGGATTATTGCAGAGAAACGGATTCGTAATTTTGTAACTTTCTATATAAATTTTGGCCAATTCGAGAATACTAAATCCCGGAGTGTAGCGTAAAGTGCCTCCTTTAAATAAATATGAGCGATTCAGAGCAGTAAGAGTAGATGAACATAAGACAGGGAGGAAAAAAAAGAGCTCAAAAAAAAACAATAATAAAAAAAAGAGAGAGAACAACAACAACCCTGAGAGCAAGCCGTACAGTTCGCGAAAACCGCGAATGAGGCAGGTAGTAACAACGGCTAGAATCAAAGTATATCTTCCCTATATGCTACCTATTACATTAATTAGATGCGTCATCTCTGTATTTAAAAATACTAATAATATTGCGTTGAATATAAATATATTATCTGTTATAATTAGTAATCATCAATTATTCGAATAGTCCCGCTCTGAAGCCTCCACGTTTTGCCTTCGTTTTGCGTGTTTTAAAATTCCATTTGCGCCACCGCTTCCCCCTCCGTTCGCACATAACGTTCTCTCAATACTATACCACCGTCTCATAATCTAAAATATATGTATGTACATATAGTTCCGGCAAAGGCAGCCATTAACTCTTTGTAACCTTTTCTTTTCTTTCCCTCGCCCGTCATCGCGCTAGTATTTAAATTTACTTTTTTTTTATCCGTCTGAGACTCGTTAATATAATAAATTAATTAGCTCGTTTATTTTACCAATCCTCAACAAACGCATCGATTATATTTACGTGCCCTGTACAAATGAAATGTAATAACCGCTTTTTCCTTAACACCTCGCATACACTTAAGATTTTAAAATTTACGCTTTAACTTTAGTTAAAAATCGATAAGAGTAAGGAATACAATATTAGTAGTAATAATTATAATTGATATACTAGTGGTTCTTAATCCGCATCGTTAGTTATCGGTATTATTCTATAAAATAAGTTGTAAAAAACAGCCGTAGATAAAACGTCGCTATTATTTGCCGCCCCCTCCCTTGCAAGTTAGGTATTAAATAACGCATTATTTATTTAGAACAACCATAGTATTTTTTTCATCACTTTTTTTCATCTATATATTTTTCCCTTACGAATTTATCGCTTGAATGTTCAATAATGCGTTAACTAATTAACTCTCTAGTTGCAAATCGTATATACATATTTACGTGATCAAAAACTAAGACTAAAAATTAGAATTTGCTTATATTACAAGGACCTCAATCCAAATTGGATAAAACAAGGCAAATAAAAGTTTGAGTAAATCATCATCAAAGTCCTTTCTTCTTATTAAAATTTATAATATCGTTATAATTTTATTTTGGAACGGCCAAGATGTTCTACGTCATCATGTTTCATTATCTTAGATCATACCTCGACAATATCACATTTTGTTCTTGTCCTTGAAATGTTTCAACGGTTCCTGCGGTTATACCTTTCATGTTCATAGCTGCTAAGTGATGTTTAATATCTAACTGTTGTCGTTTGAAAGGCACTATGATCCCTATATATTCTCCGTTCTTGGCGCGTGTGTTAAATTTCGTATTCATCAATATATTCACATATACCAACATCGCTAGTACTTCGGCTGTCTTATAGACACTGCAAATATGTCATGCTTACGCGAGTTTTCAAACAAATTAGCCGCAGCTAGAAGAGTTAATTAGTTTACTTCATTTATGCGTGTTTTAGAGGTAAGAGTGTATGTGTGTGTGAATATGTGTTCATGAGTGTATATCTGCACGTGTTTTCTTTGTATTACCATAATAATTAGGATGTAAAATTGGTTGTTTGATTGAGCTCTCTAGTCGCATTTTTGTTTCGTTATGTGTTTAGTTAAGTGTGTTATTGCGTTGATCCCAGAAGTTCACACGAGTCGCGTTTTGTTAACATTGCACTCGTCTCTTCATCCAATTGGCGTGTACAACACCGGTTTTCTCTCCGCGATATATTTCGTAGACAAAAGAAGTTCTTATATAAGATTTCTAACAAAATGCAAAGTGGTTCTAAATTTAATTAAATCGACATCGATATAGCCGGTAATAAATATCGTCGTAAAAAAAAAAAAAGAAAAGATTGGCCTATTCTATAGCTTTGAATGCAACGCGATTCAACACTTTATTGTCAGGATGCGTAACAAGCATTGATGATATGAACGGCGAAACGAATAACGAAAAGAATACGAAGAAGAAAAAATAAAATTAGCAGTCGATCGTCTTGCACTTAAGATACAATGAAGTCTTACACTGTCGTTCGATGGACAAGGAAAAACAAAATATGGACAATAGTATAAATTACGTTATATGAGATCACACTTTTATAACGCTTAACAAAATTGCTGAATTCTGTATAACCGTAATCTATTTAATTACACCTTTATGTGTGGTATAAGGTCTATCTTGGTGAATTATATTATTTAGCATAATACTCGCCATTCTCATCGATAAAGTAAGACACAACGCGACCCGCTCGGTAATTAAACATGAGCATTTGGAGAGCACTCTTCCGAAATATTCCTCGTTTAGATCTATGGTAAATCCTACAGAGTAAATACAATTAAGTCATATATTTAATCAGGTAAACTTTTCAGGTCGATATCCCCCATCGAGACATATCCCCACGATTACAATATACCCCTCCCTCCACCTTATCTATCAATGATCTCGTTCTAATGATCTAAAATTTAAACACTTATAATCATCGCATATGTCATAATTATCGTCGACAGTAATAATAGTGTAATAGTAATAGTGCAGTTGTAGCAATAGCAAGAGTAAACAGTGATAAGTATTAATAGTAATAATAGATGCATACAATAGTAATAATAATATAGAATTAATTGTAATAGTAACAATAATATAATCGTAGTCTTAAACGTGCCTAATAGTTATTATAAATCGGAGGTAAAAAATAAACCAGTTTCCACGTGCATTCCACGGTATGGTCGAACAGAAGCCAGTCCGACGGCCACACACTAAGTTCTTATAATACAATTTGTAAAAATATTTGTGATTGTTTGTCGGTATTTTTTTTTCTCTCCTTATCTCTTCCGCGCATTGATATCATTTTCCAAATTTGTTGGAAGAATAGGAAAGTAGCCGTTAAAAACTAATTTAAGGAATCAGTATTCATAAAAAAGTAGAAGAGAAAAAGGAACTGAGGAGAATACGTATTTAAGATACTACTAGTGATATGACATGAAAAGTAAAAAAGGACGTCTGCAGAAACCGCATCCTGCTGCTGTGTGTCAAAGATTTCTATATAGATATACAATACACCATATTAAAATGATCTATATATTTTACACTATTCTCTGTAGTCAGCCTGTATGATCGTCTTACTTAATTATCTCGTCAATTACTCGTTATATTCATTTTTCTTTTTTTCATCAATTATCCGGTATAACAACTATTTAATAAATACAAGATCGTGGAGGGACGAGCGTCTCGAATGTGCAAGTCACTCGCGCTGACTTCACATCGGAGACCATAGTTTAAATATTTCTTTCGTTTTACTTCTTATCATCTGTGTTACATACACCGTGTTCTGCTAACGGTTAGGAAGTGAACAAGCATCGAATTTTTTTTTAGTGTGCTGCCTGAGAAGATTTCTTCTCGAACGAAAACTTATTCACCTCCGTTAATAAATGCTATTAACGATTAAATGATTAGCATTCCTGACTCTTTACGCTCGCTTGTTACTTTGTGTTTGCACGTTTTAGAATCTCCTCCTTAAAATCCCCTTTAGCTCATTTATATTTTTACAATTTGATATTGCGCTTCCTTTCGTCTATCCCAGTGCCATACAAACTTCACTTGCCTCATGGGTGTGTATTATAACACTGTCGAGTTGTCCATTTCACTTAACATTTAACGTTTAATTTATATATTTTTTTTTATCTGAAAAGATCATGGGCCGTTCTCGCGAGCGATCAATAAAAAAATCAACATCTAAAGAAAAGTCCAAACATCTCTAACGTTTCCGTTTTCCAAGCTTTCTTGCAAGATGTGTTTCGATATTGTTGAAGAAAAGATTCCGGTAATTCGATCGCTCACGAACGACATGCTGGCATGAACAAGAGACATTCCGGTTTCCATCGTCGATTTTATCCGCGTATCTCAGCGACTTTTTTTTCAGAGCGAGCATTTTTATTGTACAACTAATCGTAACTCTAATTTGCGGCTTCTACAAAAATACGTTACATAGTGTCGAATTCCTTAAGCGACAGGTATCTTTCTCTAATGGCCTTTCTCCTAATGCAATACACAGTAAGAAACGTGAATCGACGAGGAATGTCTCATGTCGTAGCGCATATTTCACGACCAACATAGAGCTTGCGTTTATTCTGAATATGAAGAAATAACCCACGAGCAAGGCCAAGCCATTCAGCGCATCTCTCCAACGCGAGTCAATTAAAATGGTCATGAGGTGGGCCACTCTTTAAAATCGAAGCCTTGCTGGCCGGGTTTAGGTGCGCTGGCGGCATACCCACCTTGACTATTTTCTCCTCCCTGATACGAACGCTGAGGATAAGATGTATCAGCATAATTACTGTATGCAGAGTACCCAGTGTAATCTGGAGTCTTGGCTGAACTGCTGCTAGATCCTGGTGCACCTGAACCGGTATTTTGCCGCGAATACATGTCACCTGCAACATTTGCACATAATACTATGTCAATATACGTTCTAATGGATTGTAAAAAAAAATATATAAAGAAAGTGAAATTAAACATCAAGTGCTTAAAAATTAATTGAAACTAACTTGCGATGTAATTTACACAATACTACTTTCTTCATACTATCTAAATGTTGTAATGTCTTATCTAAATGTTGTAATATTCAAAAATCAAACGAGTGAATGAAATCGATATATAGAAATATACAACTGTTATTATTTTATATATAAAATAATAATATTAAAGAATATATGCAAAGTTTTTTTTATTTCTGTATGTAATTTAATTAATTAATTCCTTACATCTTTCAATACTGAGAAATAAAGTTAAATAATTAACTATTTTTAATGTATAATAAAGATTTTTGGCATCTTTTAGATAATACAATAAAAATTATTATTTTATACTGTTGTATATAAAAAATTGTAAAAAAAGCATAAGACTAACAGTTTTCTGTTTAAAAAAGTTTTAATCAATTTCTTTCATTATATAGATTTCTTTTAAAAAAATCATATCTACTCGTACCTACAATATATTTATTTATGTAATGTGTGGTGTGTGTGTAAAATATAATATTTATATGCACTATAAATATGTATTAATATAATAAATATATATTAAATTTAAATAATATATATATAATTAGAAATACATATAATAAGTATATATATTTTTAATAAAATTTAATAATAAAAAATTAACAAAATATTGTATTGATTAATTCCTATAAATAAATAAATAAATATTGCTATAATTACGTTCCTGTAAACAAATTTTATTCTGTGAATATCTACGTGTATAAATGAAACTCGCATCTAGTATCTAAAGTATTATAAAATTAATTCATTAATCAGCTATCACATTATCAAGATAATGAGATCAGTATGCACTTGTACAGTATATTAACTTACACATGTGATTAATTTATCTTTCAATATCGACCTTTATATGAGAAATTTAAATTCCACGCAATAATAAACTATAACTATATAAACAAAAATGTTCTCAAGCAATTTATAAAATATATGAATCTTATTTAAAAGCATAACTCTAAAACGTAATCATATACGCTCGAGATAATTGCTATATAACCATGCATTTAGTATCAAAAATAACGATCATCTACCATAATAAAATAAATGTATAAACAAACTATTTTAACTATCTTAAATGTCTAAATGTCTCATATTTTATACATTTATACATTTATGCAGAATTATCGCTTATGAATTGTAAAAATTACTTTAAACAACAAATATAGAAATATTCACATATACAAATAACTCACATTTTCATAAATAAGATTTACATTGATTGTAACATTATAGTTATAGGTAAACGTGAAATGTGTAAATTAACAGTAAAAGCACTAGGTAGACATACATTTATTACACACAAGCAAAGATATTAAAAATATTATACTGATCTCAAGATCTTAAAGACAAATTGATGTCGATTGTATAACTTCTTTTTAAATTTGTATAGCTTATAAATGCAAATAGCTAATCATTATTGACATTTCTTATAATAAATATTTGTCATTGTCAATAGATATATCAAATCGTCATTAGTCAAACAGGCGAGAAAAGGAAACAGAAGAAAAGAATATAGAATATTATTATCCTATATTATAAATAATATCACAGGACATTAATTTACTTTAACATTCGACATTTGTAAAGTGATTATTTTTGTTTTATAAGTTATACGTTATAACATGCTCTCGGATCTTGGGAAAGTATCTTTCAAGAATCTATTCTAAATCTCTGTTATGGTATGTATAATAGTATGCAATATGTATGTGTATATAACTTCCGATTATAAATGGTTAAATAACCCGATAAATAAGTACTGGCAGGGTACATGCTTTTCGAGAATCTACACGTAAAAAAGTTATGTGTACTAACCGGAAAAAAAATAGATTATATACAAAATGTAATAACAAATTTGCAGAGGAAAGGAGTATCTGGGATAAACCGGGAGACTTAAATATAAAAAAAACTGTAATTTAACGTAACAGCTCAGAAATTACCGTTTCTAATGCTTGAGGCGTGATCTAAGAACATCGCATAGCGAATAAAATATGAGATAATAAAGCAAGTATGATGGGAACAGAATAGCTAGGCGAGGGGCAGTGCGTCAAGCGTACAGCAAGCATTACTTTCGATCCAAAGAATATGCAACGAGCATATGGCTATATCCAACTATTCCCATTCAATTTAACTTCAAGCAGAAGCTATTTATACAATGCTGTTTTCTACTTTTGCAAGTACATACATACATACATACATGTATAAAAAATATAAAAGTACACACAAGCACACATACACATACATACACATACATATCATACATACATACGTACATGTAAATGTATATAAATATAAAATTCCTCGATAATATGAAAAATCTCAAGTAAAAAAAGATAATTTCTGAGCCCTACGGTTGTTGTAAATATAACAAAATAAAAATTTTATTCTACTTCCTTCAATCTCCATCGTAATAGTTATTATATTGTATGTAATCATATCAAATCTTTAGCGTCATTAATTATTAGAAACAAGTAATGTGTTAATGCAATCTTTTTATTAAAAACTATGCATGCTTGTAATCTGCACAAAAATAATTAATATATATTTCAATCATTTTTTATTTTCTTTTTAAAAGCAAAAATCATACAATCATAAAAAAATGTTAACATAATATTATGTAAATGTAAATATAATGTTATAAAGATTCAATTTGTCCTGCTATTGTTAAATTGTTAGCATACATGTGCTGTTAGATAAAATAACGCAGTTAACAAAATTAGTTGTAGAGAATTGGAGGAAGTCTATATATAATACCAAAAACAAAACAAAAATGACAAACATTCTATGTATTAAAAGTATCAACACTTTGAGTACGATGAATTCATAATACGTTTAGCGAAATTCCTGGGTGCGGACCTATGCATTCATATGTGCGTTCGACGAAAATTATTGACGTATAGACTCATATATGCCTCCGATGAAAGTCATCAACATGACTTTGGACTTATATACATATATGGATTCTGCGATGTCTCCTTTATATTTCTAACATAATTTAAAACTATATGCAGTAAATATGTAAAATCCAATTCCAACCACAGATATGATTATTGCACCGAGCAAGTTCGTCCACTTCTGAGAACTTTCAGCTTCTAAATGCTCCGTACTCAAAGAGTTAATCCCGATCACTGGACATATAAAATCAGGCTGGTATAAGAAATTACATTGCTGTAGCTAGGCGCAGAATTAGGTCAGAATGGAACTAAATTGCGATGCCAAAGGGTGGAAAGAGGAAAGTTTGTTTGATTTGAGCTTGAAGACTCACCCTGCGGGCCAGAGGGGTTCGAGTTGGAGTTGGGCTGCGAGGAGTTGGGCTGAGGGGGCTGGGGTGGGGGCTGGGTCCCAGGAGGAGGCCCATTCTGTGGCATGTTCCAGGAGCTCCATGAGCCCCCAGGCCCGCCTCCCGCAGCCCCGCCAGTACCCGCCGTGGGCCCGTAGCCCCCTGAAGCGGCCGCCGCCGGCCCACCTGCGATCATCAACCACACAAAACACGTGTCACCGACCGCATGTCACAGCTCACTTTATTTTTCTTATCATTCTGTTTAATTTATATTACTATTGCTTTTCTCTAATTTATTACGAATATAAATATCTCTCTACTTCTTCAGCATTATTTAAGAATGTCTTTTCGGCAACTCAAATATTCATGCTTGGTTCTCTGAATGAATAGCGTGAAAGAAGAAAAAGAAGAAAAGAATAAAAAGAAAGCAATTAGACAGGCAATGACATAATTATAAAATAATTCAGGCAAATACGCCCCAGTAGAGAATATATTTCTTGTCTTGTAAACTAGAGAAACAAGCAAATATCTATATGCCCGAACATATCCATTTTAGCACGCCTAATAAAAAGTTAAAAAATAATTTTAAAATGTTATTTATTAATAAAAATTCAAAAAAAAACAACAATATTATGACCATATCGCCAACATTTACAGGTTTCATTTAACATGTTATATATTGAAGATTTGAGTTATGTAGTGAAAATTGCTTTATTTAATTTAAAAATAGATAAAATATTTTTAGTAAAAATATTAGAATTAAATTTTTTCATAAAAGTTTTAGTTTTGTTTAAATTTTGAAATGTATTAATAATTTATGTATTATTAAAAAAGTAAAATAAAGTTTAATTTCAACATAAATTATATTTTATTATACAACTGAATAAATTTTATTTTCATTCTAGTTTTTCACAAAAAGATATATTTCTTTAATGAACAAATTATAATGGGGCGTTTTTCCTACATTTTGAAAGGAAAAAAACGTTCTTTTGAGTATTAACGAATCAAATTTATTGTATTAACTTTATATGAAACCCTAATCGAGATTATTTTATTAATATTTCTATTTCTTAATTTTAATCTGCCTTATTATTTATTATATAAAAAGAGAGAGAAAGAGAGAAAAAGAGAGTCTATGTGTGTTATAATAAAAAAAAAAAATAATTCTGATTTCACTATAGATTTTCATATTAGTGTTTCAACGATTCATAGAACGTATTTGCCAGAATTATCCTATGCAAAAGTTGGTCTTGCAAAAATATTATTAAACGTGTGTATACAACATCGTAGTATAAATTACAACAGTATAGGTAGCTTCTCTATTTCATAATACATGAATGTGACACTTGTTAATGTGAAATGTAAGCATATGACATGTTATCATACAATGTTAGTACTCGCTATCTCTAAGCATATTAGAGATAATATACTATTTTTAATATAGCAATTGGTGCTTTAAGATAATTTAGTGTTATAGATAAGTGGAGTAAGTACATTCTTTTAGTATAAAAAAAGAACCTGTGTAAAGATTTAGATTTAAAGCTTCTCTACTCACTGCGGTCATCTTGGACTGTGATGTCAGAAACGAGAAAATGCATAAAGAAAATATTGTATCTTTTTGCAAGATGTAATAAAATACAAATATTTTTAAATAAAACATTTGCAATTAATAGAGTAGATTTGTAAAATATATCGAAGACACTCCTCATGTTTCAATAATCAATAAATAACTAAATATTTGGAATTGAATTGTACCTAATCAAAAAATTATAAACCAAAAGCGACAACTATCGAAATAAAATAATTTTATTTTATTACAATATAAAAGAAGAGGTTTCGATATATTTTATGAATGTATTCAAATAGAAATATTATTTTATTGAAAAATATTTACATTTCAATGTAATTTGCAATAATTTTTTCGGTATGTATTTTCTTGCTTTCGACATCACAATCCAATATGTTCTTTATCGTTGTACTAGACTACACGAAAACTTTCCATCTCGCTGCTGTCAAACTTTAAATATATATTTCTTCTAGCTGAACGAGTATGCACTCGTTTGTATTTGAAATGAAATAAAATGAAATAAAGATATATATTTGAAGTTTGATAAAAGCAAGATAGAAAGTTTTAGTGCAGTCCAGTGTAGCGATAAAGAACAGATCCTATTCTATTTGCAGTACGAGTGTACATTAGTTCAGCTACAAACAAACGGGCTAATGGCTGCAATGAGTAGGCAGGAGCTTTAAGTAAATATTAAGTAATAAAAGACATGAGAAGAATTAAACTTTAAGAGAATCAAGCATAAATTCTACAAATAAGATTACAAAATCCGATATTTTGAATACGTATGTATTTGAGATATATCTATTATGTCTATTATGTCAATCCAAACCAAGTGTTAAAGTGTTTTATTACACTTGAAATATCTAGAAAAAGTCATCATAATCAAAAGTTATCATAATTACATTTGCGTATTTTATTATATAATAGTTATCAATAACATAGATATGTATATATAAATATAAATATACATATAAATTTATATACATGTATGTGTATATACATTTTACACACGATTTATTATATAAACTGTTTATATATTAATCTTTTATATATATATATATATATATATATATGTGTGTATATATGTATACACATATCACAGACTTTTGTAATATTTATATTAGATCTAAAAGAAATTAGAAACTAAGAAAAATAAATTATTTGTAAAAATGTTATTTATAAAAATAACTTTCTGTCTCGTTTCAAGTTATGTTGAAGTTATACGATATGCTTCTTACATAATAATAAATAAACACATAAGTCTGGGCTGACATAATTACTTTCTATTTTAACTTTCTTTGCATTTCAAAACCTGTTACATTTTTTCTAAATTCTTTCAAAAACCTCCAGGGGGCATCGTAAAAGTAGATCGTATTATATTGTGATTTATAGATTTCTCATGTTCTTATCTTTTTCTCTTTCTTTTCTTCTTCTAACCTCTCTAAGCAGGATGGAAGAGGATAGGAACAGGATCAAAGTTATATTTATTGAAGTAAAATTTTATCGCTACCTCAAGTATAGTATAAACGAAGTTGATATTTGAGATTTTAATAACTTTAGAAAAATTGTTCTAATTACTTTTCAACGCATGACGATCTAACTGCACGTCATGTCAACAATGTTTTTATAAATTTTCGTTTTCATTAAGTATATAATTCATATCAACGTCGTTCACTATCATGTACCCTGTGCAAATAATACGATTACAATACAGTAATCCATTAAAGATTATTATCAATTTCTATACTGCTCAATAATGAATTTTCTTTAAAAAAAACTCGAATTGTGCTAGTTGAAAATCAGCTGTTAATATTTCATACAAATGATATAATAAGTAAGAGACTGAAAGTACCACTTTTTTACATATGTCAAATTTTTCTCAAATTTGCATACTTCGGTCAATAAGTTGCTACTTAATATCGGGCGAAATACGTTGAATTATATTATAACTGTCTCATACTATAATCGATTGAATCAAGACTTCAATATTTGCTGATAGAGGAGGGAGGGATATATATTTATGTGTAACTTTTCGGAATTACATCCGAACTCACCATAACTTCCATAACCTTGGGTAGCTGCAGCAGGTTGAACATTATAGCTACTACCCCACTGATGCGGCGGCGGTGGCGGGATTTGCTGCTGCTGTGGTGGTCCTGGTGGTGCGCCCCACCCCTGGGCGTTATACTGGGTGCTGTATCCCGCATATCCACCGGTTTGAGGACTGGTACCCCAACCTTGATATTGTTGCATCATATTACCAGGCGGACCCATGGGTCCTCCCATCATAGGTCCACCCATCTGACCGTTCGGTCCACCCATAGGCCCCATATTTCCGGCCATTCCCATCGGTGGACCACCCTGTTGAGGTGGACCCCACTGACCCTGATGACTATCGTTCATTTTGCTTGACGAGTCCCGCGGTTCAGCTCTCTTAATCTCAACCTGAAATGAACAGACATCACACAAATGTATATTAAATTGCCTTTTTTTCTAACAAAAAATAATGAAGCTTCAAATTTGTATCAATTATCAAAATAATTTTTGGAAAAAATAATAGAAATTTACATATTATTACCATCTAAAATTATCTTTAAAAAATATTTTAGACTAACAAGTTGACTATCGTTAATTAATTTTATACTTCGTATTAACGCTCGTACTACCTTATATAAAAATAATATGTAACTCTAATTATAAAACAGAGTTAAATATAAATAGACTTATAAGTCATTAATTAGACTTATATTGTAAACTAACACATTTTAGTGTAATACTTATATATAAATATTTAAAAATATTCACATACTTAATACTATTCAAATTATAAAATTAATTCAGTTCTATCCCTCTCAATTCTACGTATAAGAGTTTGTATACATACTAATGTTCGTATTAATAAATACTTTGAGACTTAGATTCTTATATAATATTAATAGCCTCAAAGGAAACAATGTTAACACATATACTTATTTTCCATCTTTTACATAAGGTCACACAGTTTAGTTACATGGTATATTGATGTATACCTGCTTTCCATTCAAGTTGACAAAATGTTCTGCAACGCAGCGGTCCACTGCTTCTTCATCCTCAAAGCTGAGAAAGCCAAACCCTGTCGTCCAAACGTGAGAGAGTATAGTCAAAAAATGCTCGCCATAATAATGCGAGAGAAAGCAGTTTTTTTTTACAATACAATGCATCAAATGTGCATTTAAATAAAAAACAACTTACAACATCTAATCTTATAATGGTATAAGGTATTAGACAATAGAGATTTTGTTATTTATATTACTAAATTAATAAAATATTCGCTTTTTATATTGCGCAATGTAAATTTATAATAATTCATAATTTAGATATAATATAGCAAAATTTAACTAATCAAGATTAATAGTTCCATTAGAACGCGCGCTACTAATTTATTTAATATATTAATACACAAATTTCTTAAAAAAAAATTTCATGCTAAAAGACAAGCAGTAGGGACTCAGGACGAGAGATTATAGTGCCACATGTCTATTGGCTGAGCACATCTCCCTTTATGTTGCAATAAATTTATCGCAATGTCTCATTTAGGCTGTTGTGACTTTTATTAAACATATTTTTAAGAATATAAACATTTTAAATATTATAAAAAGTAAGAAAAATTATTGTGCCAAACATAAAAATTAATGTATTTTAATAATGTATTTTTTATTATGTTTACAATCTAGTTTAAAAATTATCTGCGCTTATTTTTTTACAAAATTAAATTTATAAAATTAAAAATTAATAAATATTTATTTATCATAAGTAATTATTTATCTCTTATCTATACCGATTAATGTCAATATTATTACATAATTGATTATCATTCTCTCTATGTATAATCTAAATTAATAGATAATAAATTACGCGTTTAAATTGAATAGAATTTTATCATCTTAAAGTTTAATAAATAACCGCAAATAATGATAACAATTTTTAAAATAAGATTCAAACTTAAAATTTTCATTAGATTTATAGTACACAGCTATCTGTATTTATATGTGTAGTCTGTAAATTCTACATATAATATAATATGTGAGAAAGATTACAATGTATTACGAATATTATGATACAGATAGGATAAACATTACTAAACAATAAATACTTTTGTGTTATCACATGGTTATATAAGATTAAAAAATTACCTCGCTTTTTTTACAATATTAATGATGGCTGACTTTAAGAAGCATTTTAATACAATTATGATATTTCGCTCTGTTGTAAGAAAATATATACAAAACCTATAAGTATCAGCTTCTTGATTACAGCCACCAATAGCTTTATATTCAAAAAATATTCAAAATAAATAAGTAGTACTTGTACCTAATTGAATTAGCTACGTACTCGTCACAACCTTATTTGTAAGCATAGCAATAATGCTTAGCCAATAGTTTCTAAATATTTAATCGTTACTTAGTCCAGTATTATTATGACTAACAATTTTTTAAACATAACGTTAATATCTGTTTTACAAAGTAATTTTTATACAAGTTTAATATAAGTAAGATATTATAATTATGAACAGAAAATACATAAGTATGGATAAAAAATTATATAAATGAGTTATCCGATAAGAATTATTCGTCTAATATAGATAATATCTAATAAAAAATGGAACTTGTAAGATTTTTCCCTAATTACATAGCAAACTTAAGCTATGTATGATTTACAATAGTATAATTTGACACAGCCTTATACTTAATAAAACTTAGCCAAAAACGCAATATTTATAAACAATTGTATTTAATTTTAATGTAATACCGCAATACGTGTAACGTAATAACGAAAAAGGCAAGATGTATTATTACAAGAGGAAATCAGAACATAGATAGTAATTGCGCAATATTGAATAAATTTAATAATAACTGTTTAAAACCTTATAACAATTAATATAAACTGCGCTAGATTAAGAATATAAAAATTTGTAAATCTTACTGATCTTATATCAAGTTTCATCGTATATACATCAATAATGGATAGTCGCCAGAATTTTTGAACAAAAACATTAGTTTTTATAAAATTATTTTTAATATCAAGTATCTCATCTTTTCATTTATTCCATATTTATACTAACAAAAAAATAAAATATATAATAAATACATAATAAAAAAGTTTTCAAGAATTCTGACTGTAATTCTGATCATAATAATAAAAATATAATTCTATTGTTTTGATGCATTATTCAACAGTTTCCACGATCATTCTTCACATTTATAATATATATAACATTAAAATTGTTATTTAAAAATTAGCAAAACATATAAAACACATAATTTTTTTTAACAAGAAAGGAAAAAGAAATGGAAAAAAATACAAATATAATACTAATAAAAATATCTTATAAAAATGCCGTAAAAACCATCGAACGTAATGCGTCAACCAATATATCTTGTTATAAAAGTCAATTCACACTCACCCCTCGATTTCTTCTTCTCCTGATCATACATTATGACTACTTCCATGACTTTACCAAAGCGAGTAAAATAGGATCTTAAGTCAGTCTCCGTCACATTACTTGGCAAGCCACCAAGAAAGACTTTCGGGAAGCCACCGCTGCGCTTTGGCTTTTGAAGAGTGCGTGGATTACATGGTTTCGGATCAATCTGCGAAACGTCAACAAGATCACGTAATTTCTCTCTTATACATTTAAGATCATTATATTATATTTCAATCCTTCATTTTATAAAATTAAAATATCATTAAATATTAAGATAAAATGTGGCATCGACTTATAGTCAGATAATTCTCATCTATACGTTATGATTTATAAAAATTTGATGAAAAGTTTAAAAGATTTAAGTGAGAGAGTACAATTATTCTAGTATAAAATTGTATTTCGGAAACCATAAATTAATACATATATTATATATATATGTATATATATAATATATGTCAAAAAATATAATGTTCTACAAGCTTTCCAAATAAGATTCTGCAATACATACTGTACGTCCATCAAGTTGGTGAGGTCCGTTCTGAAGGACCAAAGAAACATTAGCGGGATCGCTAAATGTTACAAATCCAAATCCACGACTGCGCCCGGATTCGCTGTTTTTCATAACAACGCAATCGATGACCTCGCCATAACGGCCGAAGTAACGTTGGAGATTTTCTTGGGTTGTCTCCCATGATAATCCACCAACGAACAATTTTCTGGAAATAAAACGGAATAGTCTCTTTAATATCGTTAATATACGAATTTATTCGCGATATATAATTTGCATAATAGATGAATAACGTCGCTGTTGATGGGTCTTGAACGCTTATCTTTACGGAAAAAATACTACTGATATTCTTAAAGCATGAGTCACATCAGTACGTTTTGTCCTTTGTATTAGCAATATTTGAAAGAAAATATTTTTGCATAAAAAGAGGTCACACACAAAATTGTTCCAAAATAGTTTACAAAAACGATCTTAACATGTGATATGTGTGCTAAAATTTATATTTTTCCTAGCATATCAAATCATTCAGACAGTTTTAATTAATATCGCATAGCATAATAAGCAAGATTAATTAGATATTCTACACAGAGATTTATTTATCATAAAAGTAAATGTACTTCAAGTCCATCATACTGCAAAATTCTCTCAAAATATACCAATCTTCAATCGTAACTTTCTTTTCAGGAAAAGAAAGTAACACCTTCGTATATTTGTAGTATAAATATTTATAAATAAACGCAATAATTTTACACATTACTTTCTAAAGTAACCTAATTTAAGAGAGACACTTTGATGGGAATATTTCAGCTCTTTCGAGCATCCGAATTTCGAAAAAGGATGAACTAGTAGTTCTAAAAAGATAAAACGTGCTGAGTCATACAAAGTGTAAATACGCCCGGCAGCCGCCGGCGCCGGCGATGCTCACGAAACATCGCAATCAATTGATATCCAAACGCCATTCCCCACCGCCAGCCGTTTCGAAAACTCAAATACGCCATTCCGACTGTATTCCGTTCGTATTCGCGCAACGAGTGCTCTCGTTACTCCGCGCACTTTCGACCGTGGCGCGTGGTGGCGTCGGGGAAGGGGGGAGATCCTCCAGACCGGAGCCCGCCATCCGTGCGGCTCCGGTCGAGAATTGGAGCGTAAAAATAGAGAGAGAAACCAGCAGTTGTCTAAGGACGCGAAACGCTTTCGCGCACCGCACTCTCGTGAGCTGCCATAAAAGAATGCGCGGGCGGCGAACGGAGGCCGCCGCTGCCGCCGCGGGGAAGACGCGGGGGGAGAGAGAATACCCCGAATTTTCGCAGATCCTGAGGCTCGAAGCCAGACGGCGCCGAACGTGTGCCGGTCGACCCGCCGAGCCTCGCGGTGAAGCAAGGAGTCACGTATCTCATCGTCATCATTCTCGTTGTCGTCGCCGCCGCCGCCGCCGTCGTCGTCGTTGCCAAAAAGGAGAAAAGAGAGTCAAGAGAAAACCACCAGCGTATCGGGGGATATCCTCGCGTCAACAGCGATGACGTTCCACGTCGTCACGGGACGAGAGCTGAGAATGTGAAGGCGTAACGTCGGCGAGACGCAGGAAGGCGTCGAGGAAGAAAAAAAATCATTCTCGCGCGATCGCGGGACGCGCAAATCGCGAGCGGCGGCGGCGGCGGCGGCGGCGGCAGCGGCGGCGGTAACGGGAACGATGATGGCCCCGCCGAATGCGGGAGCGTGAAGGACGGCGAGGGGGGCCGCGATGCCGTCCGCGACACCGGGCACCCGGGCTCTACTCACCCCTTTTCGTCGTCGTCCATTTCGGTCTTCACTCTCATAATATTTCACTTAAAACTACGAGAACGCGGTCAATTTCAGGGCGCGAGTGGGAATATGGCACGATGCTTTAGCGCGGACGAGGGTAATGGCTCCGCACAACGCGACGTCGGGAACAAATGTAAACGTAACGAAGCGACGCGCGTCACTTCCGCCCGTCGCCCGACGACGCTGGTCGAATCAGCAACCCGGCCCGCGCAGGCTCGGCCACCGTCGCGCCGCCGGGACCCCGCGGGGCCCCGACTAAACTCTGATCGACTATAAACGACGTCATTTATCGGTGACTATAATAACGATCGGTACGGCCGAATTATTCGCTTAACCTCGATAGAATTGTTGACTTTTTGTTGTTTATATTTTTTGTCGTCGTTTATATAAAAAAAAAACATTGAAATTATAAGCTAAATTATAAGTTACAAATTTTGCATTTTTTTTCGATCAACACTCGATTAACTTAATAAATAGTTTATCAAGTAAAAGCTCGGTAGGGTTACGGAATCGTTGATTTTTTATTGCTCGTATGGAGAGAAAGTTCAGGGACGAGTCAGTTTCTCTCAAAAATTCCGCCGGTCGAATTTAACCGATTAAGCTAATCAGAGTTTAATTGTTCTACACGATGGATTTCAAATGCACGTCGAATGCACTTTCGACAGGCTAATTCTTTAATTAAATTGCCGACAAAAAAGATGATTCTGTCCGAAGGCTAGAACGCATTTAATTATAGCGCACAAATCGAAATTAACGCGCATGTCAAGGAAAATAAAAGTTATTTCGCGTTGTTCGCGGCGATGTGACTTCTCTCACTATATAATCTCATTTTGAGGGTATCATTTCTGTTTACGGGTTGTTTCGAATGTTTCGATCTCGTTCGCGGATCGATACAACTCTCCCAGAAACCAGCGATTTATATTTCACTGATCCGAATCGACAACGAATTGGCCGGGAAACCTGCCGTTTCCCCTCCCCCGCTCGACGCACGGCCCTGCGAGAGAGGCCGTTTGTTCGCGACGTGCGATATGTATTTTTTGCGCGATATTCACGCCGCGTTTATCGCGCTCGCCCGCGACGATTCACCTGCCGAAAACGGCAATATCCGCATATCGACGACACACGGGTGTTAAAACGTTGCCTGAGCACGTCGGTCATTCCGAGTTCAACGATCTTGGCCGTCGTAAGGTCCGTTCCTCGTGCCGCCGCGCCAACAGCCGCCTTCTGCACCCGGCGAGTGCGGAACGGATCGCGCGGAACGCGCGCTGGACCGGCGCGGAGGACAGGCGGGACGTGCAGGAAGCGCGGAGACCCCAGGAGCAGGTCCTGCGAACGTGTCGACTGTCGCGTCACACGTCAGAGTCGCGCCTAGGAGGATTTCCCAACTACTTAGTCAAATGCGCTTTCTTTTACAGGAATCTATATTGGATATAAGAAAAAATGCAGGGCGTGACCATCAGGAACCCGAACGCATATCTCGCTGAGTCATGCAACCAGAGCCAGCTGTTCAATTTTCGATTTTTATATAGCGTTGATTTGAATTTAATGAGTCCGTATAAATGTATGTATATTAATATGCAAACGAAAATGAATTTCTTTTGCAAAAAAACAAACTATTTTTCCTCTTGTATGTAGACAATTAAAGAGTGTATAGAATTCAATTATATATAAAGTAACGAAACAATATATTTTTATCGTTACATATCAGTCGTTTTAATAAGTGCATTATTATATATAATGTCGAGTACCGCAGTTTAAAAAATAATTTATTTTTCTTCAATTTACACGCATTTCTGTATTTGTAGGCTTTTTGAGAATTTGTATATCACATCAAATTACTTCGTTCAACGTGCGAGATTTTTCGTTTTTGTATCCTCCAAAATTTTTGCACTTAAAACGAGATAAATATATATTCAGACATTGAAGAGAGAAAGAGAAAGAAGATTCTCAGTATGCAAAAAGTGCACACCTATGAGCGATGACGAATGAATTTAAGGTGCCTTTTCATGCCAATGTTCGACGCTCTCATTTTTCAGCGTCGTAAATAAATTATATGATCAAAACGCTAGACAGTGAAAATGTATGAAAAAAAGGATATTATCATGTATATGTATATAAGCTTATTCAATTAGCGATCTGGGAGTCTATTTTACAATTTGGAAATAGATGCAAAAATTACAAAAGTAAGCGAATTTACGAGAAGATTGATTACAATTTCATTAGCCACCGCTCACTCTTGTGTTTTTCATCAATTTCCGAGAATTGTAATTATAAACTCTCTTGTATACAAAGCGTCATGAAATGACACCTTTATGAACTCGAATGAATCCGCGATTTGTTTTGCTGCCTGCCGCTGGCTGCGCGCAGTGCCAGTTCACCGTCGCGAGAAATTGTAGTGTCATTCGGAGTTTGAGAAGCAATTATACATTCGAGAGCACATCGACGAGCCGAGCGCGCAATGATGGATCTGTTGACAGAAAGTGGGAAAGGACGTTTACCCGATTACGAGGTGCAGGGAGCGAAAAAAGTGAGCTTCAGTCCGTACTCCGACAACGGGGGGTAAGTGGAGATAACCTACAAACGTCTACTATATTTTAAGCGTCACAATTGTAAGCACTGCAAACACACATTTCCACGATTGTTCTTGATTTTTATCTTACGATTCTTCGTGTAGTTTTACGCTCCCACATATATTTGCGTGGAGCACTTAACACTTACGCAATTGTACGAGGACACTGTTTCATCCTCAGGAGTGTGGTGGCCCTCGCCGGGGACGATTTCTGCGTCATAGCCGCGGACACGCGTCTCAGCACCGGTTTCTCGATCTACACTCGGGACCAGGACAAACTATTTTCCCTGTCGGACAGCACTATCTTGGGATGCTCCGGATGCTGGTGCGACACCTTGACTCTAACTCGTCTCCTGTCCGCTCGCATGCAGGTACAGACACTTTGCGCTTGGAATCAATTAGAATTGAAATATACTTCGGGAGAAAAGTGTAATTCATATGGTACATATTAAAATTGTCGGACATATCGACAGTTGTTTATTTCAAATATACGAACTTCTTCCAGATGTATAAGCATGAACATCAAAAGCAAATGTCTACTCCAGCGGCGGCACAAATGCTGTCGATAATGCTGTATCACAAGAGATTCTTTCCTTATTACGTCAGCAATATACTCGCTGGACTGGACGAGAATGGGAAGGGCTGTATATATAGTTACGATCCAATTGGACACTGTGAGAAAACTACATATAGGGCCGGTGGTTCAGCCGGCGCACTTTTGCAACCACTCCTTGACAATCAGGTAATATATTTTACTTATTTTACATATAAATGTAAAATTAAAATATTTAGGAACGAGGAATCGCAATAATTGATACTACAATTTGTAACTACTCCATTCTCTAGATTGGCTATAAGAATCAAGAAGGCGTCACTCCTGTACCCTTGACCCAAGAAAAGGCTATATCGATTTTGAAAGACGTTTTCACTTCCGCGGCTGAAAGAGATATATACACAGGTGATGGAATAACTATCAAAATTATTACAAAGGATGGAATAAGAGACTCTAGTTTTGCTCTGAGGAAGGATTAAATAGGGAATGGAAACGTTTATATCTACACGCAAATAAAGTTATTTGAGTACACCAGCATTTTGTTATTAAGTTTCTTTCTCATTCAAACATTCTTCGAAGTAGACAATACATTACGGAATAATCATTTTAATAGATTTTAAATGCATAAATTGAAATTGCATAGATTAAATAATGTACAAAAAATATACACGAAAGTTTAAAATATACACGTAAGCGGTACTTAAATAGGCGTTTTTTGTTTTTTTTTTTTAAATATTTATACACTATATTTTCTACTTAATATATGTGTATGTGTTTGTATGTGTAAATATCTATACCTCGTAGATTCTTAATAAATCTTCCCGATTCTTAATGAGAACAAATATCTGATGGTCCATCATAAATTAAGAATTTTATTTTGTCACTCAAACACAGTTTCGCTTTCTTTTATTTCATGATTAGCATTAGTAATGTACACTTAAAAATCTATAACAAACGATTACGCACAAAGGTAACTCAATAAGCCTTGTTTTTTTAAAAAACTTTATGCTGCGTTACTACATATCGTATGTAACCGTAAGTTACTCCGTACGTATTCGTGATATCCTAAAATATCTCTTATTTCGTACATAAAGACAAATAGTTATAACCCAGTTTTTTTTTTTTTAGTTCACAGTATCTATATGACCAGGAAAAGGAAAGCAGGGTAGTGATTTGTTTTTTCTTTTTTTTTGTCGCGTTCCGTTCTACCGTCTTTCTCACAGTTCTTTCTTGGGAACATTATATAAAGATCGAAAGATAGACATTGATTCCCCCCGAGATTCACTTCTTCGTCCCGGGGGCCGCTAACGGTTTGCCACGATCTTTACCGCGCAATTTCATTCCTAGTACTCGCTCGATCTTGCCAATCACCATCTGATTCGGTATTCCACGTCCCGCCTCGTAGTCATTGATAACTTGCGCCTTCTCGTTTACTTTCTGTAAGAGGCACATTGAAAAATTGTTAGCGAAATTATTCGTACTTTTATTCTCTTGCTAATGATACGTAATTCGATATAAATAAATAATACATAAAATTAATCAAAAATTAAAATAGAAAACTTAAATCATTAAGAATCATAAAAATATTTAAATTTAATTTAATTTTAAAATGTAAACTGAAATCATTGTAAATTAAAGAGAAAGAAAAAGAAACTATTAATAAATCTACAATTATTAAGTATAATTATGATTAATAAAATATTTTAATTATACAGTTACGAGACACAAATACTTTACCGTGGCCAGGTCTTTTTGCGACATTCCTTTGTTCTGTCGTCCTTGCTGGATAAGTTTGCCAAGTTCAAGTGGAATTTGATCGTGCTTCAATTCCTCCGTTTCACGATCCAATTTGGCTGTGTTCTTTGTGGTTACATGCTGTCTGTTTGCACCACCGCCCCCTGGTCAGAAATATTTTTTTCTATTTCTGAAGTATTGTATTTTTTGAGAAAATATTCCAAGGGAAAAAATTATAAGAAAAGCATATATCTGTGGTAAAACACTATAGAACATTTTTCAAAATTGCTATTTTAAGTCTGTGGAAATTAAGTCATTTAAAATCTTGTTCAATGAAAAATCTATATCGTCTTTATTATTTATATAATATTGATAAAATACCATATATACCAAATGGTTCTTTTTCCGTTAACTTAGACATCCTGTATTTTTAAAACTATAATTGTAAGCCATTTTAGACATATGATAACATGAAGTTTTTATCTTAAATTAATGTGTCGATCCACAATAAGGATTTTAAGCCCTAAGTAGTAAGAAATAGACCAATCATAGTCAAACATGAGGAAAATAATTGATTGTAATTGGTCAATATCTTACGGTGTAAGGCTTAAAAGCCTTATTGTGGACCAACACTAAGGAATCATCCCTTAAAATCTGTTAAAATATTTAAAGTGGTGTCTACAATAAGATTTTAAAACTTTTAACAAATTGATCAATCACAATCGATTACCTCCTCACATTCGACTGTGATTAATCAATTTCTTAAACCTTAAGAAAATCTCAATGTAGACACCACTTGCACTATTCCGGATATTTATTGAAACAGAACCTGTGTACATATGTCATATAACCTCGAGGAGAGATTGAAGATGCAAATCTACCAACCGGTAGAATAACATATCAAAACTTCCATATGTTTTATCTTAGAGTGTCGTATTTATAAACTTCATGTTGTCATATTTATAAAATTTTTTTTTAAATCGAGAAAAAAGAAACAGGAAAAATAAAAATCCTGGGATAGAAGATTAAAAGCTAAATAACAGATTCAAGATATACAAGACGTCATACAATCTCTCGGAGAGAATCTCGTGGAGAGGTTGTAGGCGCAAATCTATCACCAGGTGGAACAACAAAAAACCCCCATATGCTTATTCTTAACGCAGCAAAGCCTGTCCGCAAACCACCTCGAGCTCTTTATCTGCGACTCAATATGATACAATAATAATAATGGATTACATGCACTTTTTTTTACTGCAACTTTTTTTACCGCTGGTGTCGCGTCATCGTATCGGTCGCTCAGGTAAAGAAGGAGGCATGACAATCACATCATTTTTCACAATGTGCAGCCTGGATATTACGCGAGGCCATGGTATACATATAAAATTCGGTTGTTGTTATTGTGATGCAAAGAGTACGCAGAATCAGTGCGCTCGAGGCGGCGAGCACCGGACTTTGTTTATATCGCGCGACGAGAAGCGATTCCACCTCCCCCCCCGAAAGGGGGGAGGAGGAGAGAGAGGGGCGGGGAAAAAAGCGTAAAAATAATCTCCCGGAGGGGAATCCGCCAGGAAATCGGTGCTACTCACAATACTCACATTTCGCCTGGGTCTCCACGGTGTAGCCCTGTCGCCGCGCGTCGTTCACCGCCTGTAAACAAACACAAACGTCGGTTACACAATCGTGCGGCGCAAATTACGCGGTCGGACCACCACGTATGTATCAGTGTACGCGCGGTGTGTGGACGGCGGGGAGGTTGAGGGGGGGGGGGAGAGAGGGTTATTACCTTTTCGGTTTTCAACGTGGACGACTTCGGAGCGCGTTTACGGAGAGTGATAGGCGCGGTGTCCCAGTCTGACATGCTGTAGAAAAAAAAAAACTCTCACGACTCGGGGGAGACTCGAAGGGTTGTCACGGCGTGAGGTGTGCGCTACGTACTCGCGGGGGTGGGAGGAGGAGGAGGAGGAGGAGAACAACGTTTCCTCGGACGTGCGTAACTACACGGTGATAGCGGCCGCTCTACTGCTGGCTGCTCCCGCCTCGCCTCGCCTCGCCTCCCGCCGCTTGTTGGCCGCTGTTGCTCGCGTTTCCAGCCGATCGGCAAGGTCTTCTCTCCACCTCGCGTACGTTCCGAAAATCACGCGGCGCAGTCGCTTGATCGACCGGCGGCGCGAAGCATCGAGGGGGGCCTCGTCGGCGCCAGCTGTATAACGTACGGCGGAATAATATAATCGCGGCGACCGCACGCACGGCGTGCTCCTCCTCGCTGCTCGCGTGTTCGCGATTTTTTTTTTTCGGCGCGGCGCCGGCCGCATCAAATTGCGACGTGCTCCCCCGTACCGGCCGTAAGTATACCCGACCGCCGTGACTCACCGACTTCACCGCGCGACAGGGCGAGCTTCGAGATTCGAAATGTGACTCGTGCTGACGTCTCGGGACAGACTCGGACGACGAACTACCAGAGAACGCGGACCGTTGGCCGTTCAATTTTCGTCACGCTGCGTGTGCAGCACCGAAAAAATTTTTCTAATTTCTATGCCGATATTGCCGAGCTTCACGGTAACTATATGTACATGCAGAAATATATATATATGCCGCTTTCTCGCCCTTTCTCGAATTTTAAACTGCTAACGTAACATTTTCTCAAACGTGTATATCTGTTATATTTTCATATCGCAAAAAGGTCCGTCTATATATATAATGTCCTAACTGTTCTGAGATGCTCACATTAAAGAAAGATAGACAGGAGTACATGAAATTGATGAGATGCATAAGCGCTGAGCCAATGAGAATCTAATGATAATTAATGTTGCTCCAAAAATTATTGATCTATATGTACGGTTATACATGCAGACTTCTCGCTCGTCAAAAAAATTACTTACATTTATTCCCATCGTTAATTAAATATATATTTTAAGCTATTCCTAGCATGCGTAAAAAAACAGTATTGAAGTCTCTTTCATTTGCAGCATTCCTCCGCAAAGAGCATTATTAATAATAACAAGTTTGCAAGCTGCACTCGGTTAGCAAAAAGCGGCCCGATACGACATTATATACCTCTCTCTGTGTTCTCTGCGGCAAATGGCACATGCCTTCCCTTTTTAAATAATCCGATAATTTTTAGATCTTGCCTTTAGATTTTGGATCTAAATTGGCATAAACCAATCACAATGAAGAATCACAAGTTGCACTTTAGCAACCAAGTGCTACCACCTCGCTAGTACTTGGTAGCGATGTGCAACTTCTGTTTCCTGGCTCCCTGCCCCGATGTGAATTTTTTCCCAAAACTGTGGATGTTCAGTTAACATTCGAGTTTATGCAATCACTATTGCAGATATATTATTTTCTCCTCGTTCAATATTCGCGAACAAGAGGGATAAAATGATATCTGCGGCAGTGAGTGACTGCTAAAACGCGATGCACTCTCTCCCGGTTGGGGATCGCGAAACTCCAGCACCCAGCGAGTGTCTAGACTGTCTAGTATTATTATACTTTCAGTGGTCCCATTGGTGTGTTTCTCTCTCTCTCTGCTGACTCCGCTCCAGCACTCTCCAGAGTACTCTGCAATCCTAGCCTTCTCTTTACACTTTTGTTATCGGGTCTTTTCTCTGGCATTACTGCAGCCGATAACCCCTCGAGGCCGAGGCCTCGTTCCGCATCGCGACGTCCGCAGCATCGTATTTATACACGACTGTGACTCCAGCTGATCCGCGCGCGAGGGCGAGATGTCGTTGATCAGGACGTTGTGGAGGTGCACGTTTAGTCCGCGGCTTTTTAAGATTTACGAGGTAACGTGGGCCGGTCTGGTTGACGTGAGTACGACACACTTATTCAGCGTTTTCCAGCAGGAATTTGCATAAAAGTTGAGGTTACAACAAACACCCCTGTGTGTGCATTTGCAGAAATCGTACGAGGCGAGGAGCTTGGAGCGATGGGGCGATCAAATCGTGATCTCCGTAAGTGTTCCACGCGCGACAGAACGGAAGTTGTGACACTGCTGAAGGCTCGCCGCAAGTCTCTTATTTTGCGCTGCTCCGCCACGACAGCAAAGATCCGTCTGAACGCCGGCAAACGCGATCTCCGCGTTACATTTTTTTTTGCCAATTATGATCACACCTTCTGTATTATTGCGACTCTCGTAAGGACGCGCGAGCTCACAAATTGTTTCTTGCTCGGTTGCAGTTTGCGGCGATATGGTCGATAAGCCTCTACGCCGTACCAGTCATCGCCATGATCGCCATGTATCATCGTGGCTATTCCCTGACAGATAACGCTTCGTACCTGAGCAAGTGGGCTGCCAGCGCCGGTGCGATTCTCGTCGCCTCGTTGGCCGCACGCGGTTACTCCAGAGTCAACAATCCACAGTATGTGAAGTTCGTGGAGACCTTGAATGAGGCCCACTTGCATTACAATGCGAGCGCAAAGCAGGAGCTTCACAAGTACGATTTTGAATTCTGGGCATGGCCTGTGGAATTTAATGTGTCGAAATTAAGGTGGGTTACTTTTATTTCTATCAACAAATTAATATACAAGATATCTGAGAATCTTTAACTTTCATTTTATAATGACAAATTCTTCAATGAATTCGAGATATCGTTTGTATCAAAAATTTTTTCAGTTGTGATCTTTCACAACTCTGTAGCGGGCACTCAATTTTTCATTTATACCTCAGACATCTTGGTGAAAATCAATTTACACTTCAACGTTTTGTTTGATTCCGTCTGAAAACTTAGAGAAAGTAGGACTTGCACATTTTAATTAAAGAAATATTGGTCTTTTAAGTTCAAAGTAAAATTGAGAGATTTTTAAATAGCTTGTATATATTATAATTAATGTCACCGTTATCTAATAATGTGTTTCTTGCAGTGACACAGCAGATAAATTGACACTAGAAAAAATTGCAAAGGCTAGTGGGCGTCTCAGGCGACAAAGTGGCAAAGAATTTTTATTTGCTATACCATGTAAATTACTTTCTTATGTGGTAGCGCACACTTTCGCGGGTAAACTGATTTATCCTGGCAGCGTGTCTTTCGTCGGCTGGGCATTCGGTAAATATATTACTATTATCGTATTCGCTTGTGTTTTTTTATGTTATATTGTACAGGCAATGTTACAGGTTCTACACTGGCAAAGGGAAGGGCAGATTTGATAAAGCAGGGTGGAGAAAGATATAAGTTGATGACTACCGATAAAAATCAAATTGATGCGATGTTCGTTGATCGACGGAACAAGTAATGTAAACGATAATTTTATCGATATTTTCAATTACGCCACGAACTGTTCTCTAATGTACATATCATATTGCAGAAGTGCTAACGGCAATATGTTGGTCGTAATCTGCGAAGGAAACTGTGGTTTTTATGAGACAGGCATGATCTCCACTCCTCTGACCAAGGGCTATTCGGTGCTGGGCTGGAATCATCCGGGTTTCGGCGGCAGTACCGTGAGTATTGCGCTTGCAAAGAAGCAAGCTTCACACGTGTATTTCACAATGACAATCCGACGGGAAGAATTGCCGTTACTCTATCAATCTAAACTTTTTTGTCGCAACAATAAGATGTTGCAGTTATTGTCATTCAGACAGTAAATGCAAAGTTGGAGTAATGGCAAGCCTTTTTCTTCGCGGGCCGACATTTGTATCTCGTATAACAATAAATCATGACCACAAAGGGTGCGCCATATCCGGAGCAGGAGGAAAACGCAGTCGACTGTATAATGCGCTTTGCGATCGAGCATCTAAAGTTTCCCGAGGAGCGGATCATCCTGTACGGTTGGAGCATCGGGGGCTACACCGCCACCTGGGCCGCTATGAATTATCCCTCTATCCACAGCTTGGTAATATCATTCGGTTCAACTGGTAAAATATTGTCAAATCGATTCCATAAATTGACAAAAATTGTCCGCAGGTTTTAGACGCTACATTCGATGATATACTTCCGTTAGCTATTAAAACAATGTCACCGTCCCTAGAAGGTTTAGTCCGCAACATAATCAGAGATTACTTCAATTTAAATATAGCAGAACAATTGAATAGGTATATTCTATGGCGTATTGTTGCAATATAATGCAATTAACAAAGCACGTGTACCTCTATATATATACATATATTGTCATCTTTTAATTTTGATAGGTATAACGGAACCGTATTATTAGTGAGAAGAACAGACGACGAGATCCTCTGTATACCTCATAACAGTCTAGCTGGAAATCGCGGCAATATGTTGCTGATGAAATTACTTCTTAGACGTTATCCCCATCTATTTTCCGAAACCTCCGAGTCTGGGACAGTTCTATCGAGGTTCTTATCCGCCGAAGCGTCCGATAGAAGTAAGGAATATATCAATGGAATATATCAATTAAAGAAATTGTACATGAAAAAAAGCATTTTATCAATTTGATTATTGTTATTTACGACAGCATCGATATTGGAGTCGTTCAATGTTGAGGAGAAACATTGCCTACAATTGATAGCGTCTAATATACGAAGTGATGATGGAGTGATAAATTATCCGAGCACTCTGGGGCAAAATTGTAATATTAGGACAAAATCACAGTTGATTCTCTTCCTCGTACGTACTACATACAAAGATTCACAGATTTTAAGTCAAAGAAAATAAAAAAAATTGCGCTATGATCTATTCTATTCTATTTTCTAGGCAACAATGTATATGCAGGATCAGTCGACGTCACACTGTCTCCCACTGTCTGTCGATCTCTTTCATCCAGGTTGGGATCCAGCATCCGCCATTGCTGTAGAATAGCTTTCACAATAAACTTATATTTTGAACATCGGCACGAGCTTCCCAAGAGATTCTTATTCATAAAGTACATTATGAACAAGTGAAAGCGATAATAATAGTCCAATTTCGTGTTAACTAGCACACATACACACAAACGTTATTTATTCCATATTAATCTATAATCAATCTTACAAATTTTTTTTTCGTGTAAATGTTACACACTAGATATCATTTTATAAATTTATAAACATTTTGTAGTTGAGTTGCAATAGTTATTTGCGTTTTTTAAATTGATTACACGCGTCGCATATCACCTAGTACTGCTTTGTATAAAATTCATTTGTATTACAATATACATATTAAAAAAATTGATTCTTAATATATTGATATTATTTTAAGAAATAGCTTTTACAGTAATTTGTATTATATTTTATTGATAACTTAAAGAGAAAAAATAATTTCCATTAAAATTATGAAATGAGAATATATATATATATATATGTATATAT